TTTCACACCCTCAGCAAACCCAGCCACGGCAATTAGCCATGGGTGCTCTTCTGCCTGGCAATCTGATCCTGCAGCTCTCCAGTCAGCCCCTCAAAGGGCTGGGGACAGGCTCTGACAGTGTAATTCCCCCGTGGTTTTTATTCCTCTTCTTTAAGCAAGATTTCTTTCAATGGAGCTGATTTGGCTTAAGCTGAAAAGTGAGCTAAACAGGCTAGGAGACGCTGTGCGGAGAGATCAAAGGGAGTTAAAAATAAGTGAGAGAAAAGAGGGAAATGCATGGGGAAGAGAGGTGAGCAGCATGAAACGGGGAGCCAAGGTGAGAGTGTAAAACATCGCTCGTGTAAAAGGTGAAGTCTGTAGAAACTGTGTTATTATTCATGTGATTTTCTCCTAATCAGAGAACAGAAGCAATAAGCAGAGGAATATTTTCCCCACATTGCATTAAAATGCCTATCATTTTCTGTCTGAAGCTACTAATCTCAGAATCATTAGGGGAGAGATTGCCGAGGCACATTTGACTGGATTGTTTTTTTCGAGGACAGCTCTCAAACATGACGGGGTGAGGACAGCTTTTGCTCCCTCTTTCTGGTGGCTCAGTCCCAGTCCCAGCCAACAGATCCCATCATGGAGGCCAACACCAAAGCACAAGCCCTTAGTCCACAGCAGCCTAGAATAATTAAGGAGAGGAAATTTCATGCCCCCCAGGCAATGCCTTGCACTCTCACCATACTTTCAGGGCTTACTCCTTCAGCCCTGGGTTCACAGATGAGCTCTGTCTCCCTCTGGCAGGTATTGTCATGGATTTTTGGCCACCATGGCCAGCAAGGGACACAAATAGGCCATGAGCAGGGAAGCAACCTACCAAGGGCCATAGGGGTTATAGGGTTGTCAGCAGGGTCTTTCACAAGGCAAAGATTTTCTTTCCTTCCCCAGTATTTATTAGGCAGCACTCAAAACCCACAAATTTTTCAACTTGTGTCACCCCAGCAGAGATGCCAGTACTTACCAGGACAGCACAAGTACACAGGGAGTTTAACCATACAAGAAATGTGGATGCTATAATGTTGACTTAGAAAAGACCCACAGACAATGCATTAGGGAGAGTATTTTGGTGTAATACAGGGGGAGATCCAGAAAGGATCTGTATTTTGGTGCACCGAGGCAGGACCAGTTTCCTAATCCCACCAAGATCAGGCCTGAGCCTTCAACTTTCTCCTGCATGGTCCCTTCAAGTCCCATTCGACATGCTAGGCCCTAAATAACTTGCCTTTCATGAAGCCCATGGCATATTCACACTTCAATATTCCATTATTTATCTTAAAATGCCAGTGCAATCCATTTAAAAACAAACCAGAAAAAAAAAAAAAAAGGCAAAATAAAAACCAACCAAATGAACAATAACAGCAAAAAAACTCAAACTGCATTGCACAGGAGGAAGGCCTAGGAGTTTTACATCTCTATTTCCTTACAACTTGCCAACTCAGGCAGACCTGAAGAGCTGGTTGAATTCTGATTGACCTGACACCTGCACTTATGGGTAGGATGCTCCCGCAGCAACTCAAGAAGAGATGAGACAGTGCCAGGCCTATTTAAAGCAGTGGTTTTAAATTTAATTTCCTAGCTGGGGGAGCTGGGGGGAGGAATGGAAGGCAACAGCTGTCTCATTATGCCATTGAGGGTTCCTTAAGTGAAAACTGAATAGATTAGTCATGGAGAAAATTAAGACAAGGTCTTTAAGCCATCAATAGCTCCCAATTTGAGTGCAAGAGGGAAGGGAGTTGGTATTAGACTTCAGTCTCACTGTCTGGGGGTTCAAATTTTATTTTTAAATGTATCTTGAAGCCAAACGTGAAATATTTTTTTTTCCAATCCAGCAGTGATTTTTCTCCATCAGTCCCAAGGCTGATGCACAGGGTTGGAGAAGCTTGCAGAAGTCTGCAATGCATTTTTAATCAGTGGTTTGAGTCTACCTGCTTTTTCCATTTAACAGCAAGAGGGGATCTGTTCCCCTGCTTTCCACCACGGGACTATAACCAGCAGGATGCAGCTTCAAGCTCCTGAGCACTTGTCTGTTATCCTTGACCTACCCAGTCTGCTGCTCCCTCCCACAGCATCAACAGGAAGATGTCGGAACAGATGTTAACATGGTTTGGGGGACATTTTTGATGTTTTGAGGCTCCCCTGAGCATCTGCAGCCCAGCACCAGCACTCTGGAGGAATGAGCTATGCATGGGGTGGTGCTTCTGACCACTGCTTTGAGGTGGTGTCCCCCACGTCCTCTCTGCTCTGGTTCTGCCCCAGAGTCTAGCCACGTCTCCAACTATTTTGCTGGCTCTGGGTCACCCTCTGTTTGTCTTTGTGCTCCCTTGGCAGCTCCCTGTAGCATTTGACAAGAGAGAGCAGAAATGTGGTAATGACAGACCCCCAAATGGATGTTTACCTATTAAATTACTAAACCCAATCATTTGGCTGATTGTTGGTCAGATCACTTGCTAGCTTAGGGTGATCAAGTAGCTAAGGTATTTATTGATGGAGAGGATGTCGTGTGAAGGTGTCAGGAGCTTTACCGAGGCTAAGCTGTCTTCCATCTGCTGCTGCTCTCCTGACCCACAAGGATCATTACACTGTCATAGGAGGAAATTAGGTTGGTTGGATGTGATTTTCTCCTGGGAAATTGAGGCCGGATGCTACTTATCCCCTGGTTATATTCTAGGTGCTAAGAGACAGATTGCTTGGCCGTTCAGTCCAAGAATTTTCTGAGCATTGAAGTCAAGCCGATTCATCCCTAATTCCCCAGACTCTCCTTCCTTTTTTTTCTCTATTTTTTTTTTTTTCCAGGAAGATGATGTATTTGCAAGGTGATAATAGCTTTGCATTTCTACCAGATCGCATGGTGCAAATGACAGAGGGTTGCTCTGCAGCCCTGGAATGTGAATGGATGTGTGGATCTCCCATGGGATGAGGGAGAGGAAGGGCAGATCATCATACAAAGATATTGTGATTATGGTTTCTACATTGTAAGGATAACTCAGGTGAGTCTGCCACAAGCTGAGGAGCTCTGCTTGGTATAGTTTCCCTGTGGCTTTTACAGATATGCTGTTGGAAAACATAATACTTGTTCATTTGTGTTTAAATCAAACCAACCTGTTATTAGAGAAAGGTGTTACAGGAGGCTAGCAGAAACTCTTCATGTGTTGTCTTTTTTTTTTTTTTCCCCAATCCAGGTATCATTTCTGCTGAGATTTTAATTATTTTTTCTCTTTAATAATGAGCGGTGCATTGTTCTCTCTATGTGCTTGCATTGTTATGGCTCTGAAAATACAATTAGAGGATACATTGCTAATTTCATCGTGAAGGGTGGATTGTGGGGAATTAGAAAACAGAGGCGGGGGGACCTTGTGTTCACTGTTGTGGCAGCACAACAATAGAAAGTGGAGTTCAGGCAGTGTGCTGGCTCAGACAGATCTTGTTTCCTGCCTTCAGAGAGCGAACAGGGCAGAGAACAAAGCCTGAGCTGAAGGCTGCATGGAGTATGCTCTGCTGACCAAAATGCAAGGGTCGCTGTATGTGAATAGCACAAAACAAAAGAGATTTTAATTGCAAACATTGATCATACCCTTTGGTCTCTGGCACAGGTTGCTATGGCTTCATCACTCAGAAGGTTTGCTAGCTGCAACTTTGCAAATATTTTTCAGGGGCCTCTGTCATGTGACCTTGTAAAAATGACAGAAAATTGCTTCCCCCCCCTCCCCACCCTCACTCCCAAACACTAAACAATCATTTTTTTCCCCTTGTTCTTTTTTAAGACTGTGGCTAAACCCTGTTAGCCAGAAAGCTGCTGCTATTCCTCAAGCTACAGTTTCACTCTCATATGTCCAAACCACAGGAAACTAGGGCTCCTATATCCTAAGGCTAAAGAATAAGGTGTGCTCTGACTCTTTTTTTCCTGCTCGCAGATTCAGTTTAGGTAGAGAGAGGTAGCTAACGGTCTGTGTTGTGTCCTTGCCATAGATCAGCTAGCTGGGAGCTCTCCTGGGAAGCCAGAAGAGAGATTACATCTGCCTCTCAGAAAACCTCTGTAAATACCAGCCTGCAGTGCAAAATGAGGAACTGTAGCCTAGTGTGAGCTTTTTTCCAAGCACGGCAACATGGTGCTCTGAAGGAAGGTGGCTAATGAGTAGCTCTGGGTCTGTCAAACACGCTGCTGGACTGAGCTAGAAACAAACCAAGCCAAGGCCAGTCCTCTCCAACCCTAAAGCCAAGCATCACAGCATGGCTCCCATCCATATGGCTGAGCTGTTTTGTCCCCAGAGCACAGTGACGTGGTCTGTTCCATCTCCTGGGAATGTCCCTGGCCTGGGATAGCCCTGAGATGTGTACAAGTGTGGCTCAAGGATGTGTTGTCTGGATATAACCAACACCACTGCAGGACCCATGCCAGTATGACCATTGGTGGCTGCTGCTTGACACTGTCATGGTCCTGTTGTGGCTACAGGTATGGGCAGAGCTTAGCTAGGCCAGCAGCGGCTTAACTTTGATGTTTGTCCAAGGTGTACAACTCCTCCAGTCTAATTCTGCCTTGTGGACAAGAGGGGAAATGTTCATGGTGCACATCATGCCTTATTTACAAAGTGGGGTTCTGCCACACTCACAGATACGTGTGATATAGTACAAAGCTTAACTGAAATAATTGAAAGAAAACCCCAGAAACTGCTGTTCATGGACTGTGAATGGCTCAGGCACTTTCCTTCCAGCATGGCTTGAGGTTTCAGAACTGCAGCTGAGCCAAGCTTAAGGCTGTCTTCCTCTGATGCTTTTTCTCTGCAGTGCCCTTCTGATTACCTTCAGTTCCTCTCCCATGACAAGACATGTCTGCACTCTTCTTCCCAAACCTTTGCCATCCCTATTATTATTATTATTATTATTATTATTATTATTATTATTATTATTATTATTATTATTATTATTATTATTATTATTTAACCTGGGTATTCACACACTTTTATTAGTCAACCCTAAGGAACTTCTGCTGAAGGTGAGACCCTCCAAGACCTGGAGAAGAAATGCTGTGAGCTCCTGAAGTTCACCCAGCGATGACAAGGAGAGCCTGATGTGGGATGCAGGCCAGCATCATGCCTGGTGGATGGATCAGCATTTCTGCTTGGATTCATCTGGCTCAAAAGAGATGTTTATCTACATGTATCAAAGCCTCAATCCTTCTACAGTCACTGAAGGGAAACAGCACACCAACACCAAAATTCGCTTCAAGCCTGCATCTAAAATGGATCAGATAAACTGTGCTGGGTGAGATGAAACCCAGGCTGGCAGGGAATCCGTAACCACCTCAGAAGACACAGGTGTCAGTAGAGACAGCACTGGCAGAGCATCCTGAGCTGTGGTTTCTGCTCTGGCTCTGTGGACTCTGTTAATTGTAGCTGCAAGGAGAGGTTTAAGTGGGCTGGAAAAAGAGCCTGGTAAGTACAGCTGTGGTTACAAGCAGACAGCTTGTTTGTTTTGACAACATTTCCATATTTCGTCAATTTTTAGACATTTTTCTGAGGTTGTTCTGTGCAAATAACATTCTCCCTCACATGGATCCCAATTCCCCGAACCCAAAGCAGTGCCTGAAATGAGAAACGCTTCTCTGGATCGACACTTGTCAAAGTCCATCCAAGTTTGGCAACACAAGCAGGGCTGGTTCCTGTGAAAAGTCCCATGCAGATCCATCCTCCTGCACAGTGCAAGCTGTCCACAGCCTTCCTCTGGAGCCAAAGATGAGCCCCTGCCAATGCCATTTGTGGTGGAAGCTGAGGACATGCGATATGCAATGAAATAGAAGAGGAAAATAATGTTAGGATTTACACATGTAGTGTTATGGCACTACGATGAAGAAAAACATCAGTCCCATGCTGCTTGGCGCTATGCAAGACAAAACCAAAATATGATTGATTCCAATTGTTTATGGCACCCAGAATGGTGGCTCCATTTGGATCCTTTTATTACATGTGAATAAAGAGAGTGTCAAAAGTCAGATTTGGGGTACACAAAAAAAATATTATATTATGCTGCTTATCACTCTCCACTGGCTGTGGAGGAAGCCGTGGTAGAGCAGCTTTGTTTCGCATCTTGCATTGATCCCTTCAACCCACTGCCAGCTGCACTGCTCAGCACGGTGTGAGTGCAGCCCAATGTAAGAAGGCTTTGCTCGGTGTTGGCAATGCATAGCCATGCAGCTGCTGCTGTGAGACCAAGAGGGGTATGTATGCTTCTAGTATTTCCTCTCCTTCACCAGCTCCCTTGGTGTGCAAGCTCATTCCAGGTATCAAAATGAATAAAAATCCAGGCTCTGATAAAGCAAAGGTGGCCTCACTGACATCAAGCAGAGTGCCTGGCTCCTGTTAATTCCTGACGCTTGTTGAGTGGCTTTGGTGGCTTGTGTAGTGAGAACAGCTTCCCAAACCCAAACCCAAATTCAAACTCAAACCCAAACGCAAACCCAAATTCAAACACAAACCCAAACTCAAATGCAAACCCAAATGCAAACCCCAATGCAAACATAAACCCAAATCCAAATCCAAATCCAATCCCAAAGCCAATCCCAAACCCAAACCAAAACCCAAGCCCAAACCTAAACCCAAACCAAAACCCAAGCCCAAACCCAAACCCAAACCAACTTGCCCATCTTGAGCAATTCAGCCTCAACTCTCTGGGATCTCCAGTGCCACCCTGCAGCTACGGGTGACCCCAGCCATCTGTACTGCAGAATGGTCTCAAGAAAAGGGAAATTAGAAATGTTTCCACAGGGAGCTTATTTCTAATAAAATTTAAGAGGGTTTTTCAATAAAATTTGAAAGTGTTTTGCAGTCATTTACACAGAGATCTGTCAAATATCTGGAGTTTGTCTCTGGGTTTAATTTAGAGTTTCTCACTGTGCGCTGTGTGCGTATGCAGGCACAAGTTTTGGCTGGGGAGTGCTGTTACTTTAAAACCTTACCAGTGCTTGCAAGCTTCCAGCCCTTCAGGGACAATTCCACAGAATAACACCAGTTTCCTGTAAACATCTGAAGCCCTGGTTCAGCCTGACTCATTTCCCTACAAGTCCTAGTGCTCCTTGTGGGCTGGCTCCGACAGCTCCCTCCACAGTACTTTCCTTAGGCTGCCTGAGCAGCTGAGCTCACCATCACTTTTTCTCTAGCAAACAGGGAATTTAGGCTGGGAATTTAGGCTGGCTGCATCTAGGCTGACTTTCTTGAAGAACCACAAACACGGCAAAAAGCTCATCATCTTCCCCAGCCCAAACCAGCTTTGTAAAGGAGCTTTTTGCCCTGTAAATACCTATATTCCCTCAACCCTTCCCATCCCAGTAAAGCACCAAATGGATTTGCTTTGCTGCAATAAGCCTGCTAACTGCTTTTTATTATGTTTGTCCTAATGCTGGCATAGATTTTCCCAAATTTATTTCAAGTTTGCTTGAAAACCTCATTTGCCTAATTGTAATAATAAAACAACATCACATGCAGATGTCTCTGTTCTTTTTCAAACTCAATTTACTTTCAATTAACAGTCATTCAGTGTTTGTTTTTTTTTGGGGGGGGAGGGGGGTTTACAAGCAGGTGTTGGAGAAAAGGTGCGTACATCAGGTGGCATCCCAGTGCTGTAAGAAAACCTTCACGTCTGAGCATTAGCAATAGACACAATCCATCGTCTGGCTGTGAAAATCTGCAGGAGCAGACTGAGGAAGAGTGTGATGTGGGAGCCTGGGAAGGGCCACGAGGGAAATATGTTGTCTGAAGGACTGTGCTGTGGGCAGGTGGTGCCTACCAGTCCTGGGGAGCTCTGGAGCTCATGGGCTGCAGGTGGGTCACTTATTTGGGAGATGCATCAACACAAAGCAGGACACAGTGTGGTTTTGGTAAAGAGAGAAAAAGTCAGAGAGGATTAAGGGGAGAAAAAGACTTTGGTTTATCTCTTTGGGGAAAGACTGTGAGTTCTGCGCATCTCTTTGCTCCATAGTTGGCTTAGGGCTGTGCATCCCAGGCATCAGTTAAGCCTTCCAGGCATTGTTTTGGAGAAAATGACAGCAGCCTCATTTAAGGGATGGGAAAACTGAGACACAGAACATCTCACAGACGGCATTAGACATTCAATGTAGCATGCTTATTTAGAGTTCATGAAACAGGCTCTTTCTCTCCATATTGTGGTTGTTAACAGACTGTAACCAAGGCTCAAGGCAGGCAGCTGCCTCGAAGCCGGCAGAAAGCTAAGCTGAGAGCTGAGCTATCTTCATCTGATACTGAACTTGGCATTAGCATTGTTTGACCTGACTTTAATCCAGCTAAAACACCCAGGGTTGCAAGAGGCCTGAAGGAAATCATCCATCTCACTGATAGAACTCTCTGAAAGATGGTGACACAGGATGACAGCATCAGAAACAGGTAGAGAGGTTATAGCGTGGATGAAATGATGTGTTTTTGCAACTTCTCTTCTCCTTGCTGGGACAAATGAGGTAGAGGTCTCCCAAAGTCACCAGATTTTTGCTGGCATGTGTTTGTTCAAGTTAGGCTCACAAGAAGGGAACATGCAAGAAAGAGGAAAATATTAGCAACCTTTCCAGGTGCTAGCAGGGTCCTGCTGGTCCTGCTGGTCTGGCATTTGGTTGAAACTCAAGGCCTGCTGCAACCTTTGATTATCTCAAGCTGAGCTGAATGAGATGCAAATGAATTGTGATGAGCATCTGGAATTCAAGGAAACTACTGTAAATGATGCATATGACTTAATCAGAACTGTGTGTTTCTGAAACAGAACTGTTTGGTAAATCATTTGGGGCTGGTGAGAGGTGCTAGCTCAGTCATTCTGAAGAAGGAGTTCTGGTTTGTACATCATATCAGCAGTAACACTAATGGGCTACCCATACCTTCTCTTTCCAGTTCATCACCCAAAGACTTTCCAGCTCTTGGTTTCTTCCAAGACTCCCTGGAAGAGGATCCATTATTACCTGCTACCAGGTTCAGTCCATATCTGGTCTTTTTAATTGCTTGGGAAAATTCAACATAGGGCTTGTGTGCCCTGAAGCCATTTATTCCAGACACATGAGTTGCTGTAATACGTGATTTCTCTCTTCCTTTGTGCCAGGGATGAACTGGGTGAGCATATTCTCTCAGCCATTGTGCAAGGTTGTAAAGCACCTTGTAAATGGGTCACTTGAAGGTCTCCAAGTCAAAGGATCTGGGTAAAATCCAAAGGGTTGTTGATGTGTGAGGGAGTAGATTAGAAGAGGGAATTGATTCACTTTTATTTTATTTAGGGAGATCTGTAGAAAGGAGAGAAGTATGACTCTGCAGTCCCTCAGGAAAGACCTGCTGTTGGCTCCAAGATTCTGGCTTCTGCCATGGGACCAAGAGGTTTCAGTGCCATCTGCCAAAGAGCAGAGGTATCCACGCCTGCTGGCTGGGTCACCACTGGGTGATTGTGCATGCACAAAATGCACAGAAAGACTGGGAGAGGGCTTGCATGCAAATTAGCACAGAATTAGTGATTTGAACGGAAGTAGGAGACTTTTTCTGAGATTAAAATTCGGAAGCATTTTCATGTGCTATGCTGCTGCTATGTTTGAATTGTAAACACTGAAGAGAAGATTTAAAATCAGTTCCACGCCATCTCCTTTAGACTCTCCCTTGACGTAGATCATTCCTGGAGGAGACTTAAATGCAGTACTTCAGGCAAGATAGCTGGAGCTGCAGCAATGTCTCCAAAAGTGCTTGGAGCAATCAGAAACGTCTGTGTTTACAGCTTATTTGCAGTGTCCCCAGACAAGAAGAGTTTGACTTCTGCAACGATCTATCAGGAAAGAAATGTTTCATGTCAGTATGGGAGCTGCAGTCTTGGCCTGTATTCAGGCTGCAAATCTAGTCCTCCAGAGCTGAAATAAGAATAAAAAAAAAAAAGTTTGTGCAGCTCAATGTTGAATGTTTTACAGTCTTTCATCTGAGGACATACAGGTTTCAGAACGAGGACTGCAGGTACTGTGCAAGCTACTGGTATTGTAAGAACAGGGGTCTATTTAAGGGCATAGGCCATGCTGAACACCATCATGCCTTTGCTCTGGGGTACAGAGATGGAGAAATGTAATCCCGCTCTCCAGTGGGTCCCAATGGCAGTTTCTCTTGGGAATATTTTGGTGAATATCTCAACAGAATGTGTTGTACAGGTAAAAGCAAATTAGATATGTATTCATTTATTTATGTATTTATTTATTCATTCATTCATTCATTCAATTTATTTTATGGGGGAATAGTTATGGGGAAACTGTGAGTTGGTAGAGACTGGAGGTGACTACCTGGAAAGCAGTTGGCAGAAAAGGACCTAGGGAACCTCTTGGATCTTAAGCTGGAGATGAGACAGCGATGTGTCCTTGGGGCAAAGAACACCAGAAAAGTCATGGGCTGCACGAGGAAGAACATGGCCAGCAAGTCAGGGGAAGTGAATCATCTCCTGTGCTCATCATTGATAAGACACCACTGAAGTGTTGGGTTCAGTTCTGGTCTTCCCTGTAAAAGACAGACAGGGACATACTGAAAGAAGTCCGGCAAAGGACCAAGATGATGATTAAGGGTTTCCTATGACGCTTCTCTGTGGTGCCCAATGACAGCACAAGAGGCAATGGGCACAAACTGAAACACAAGAAATTCCACATGAACGTAAAAAATATTTTTTTTTTTTTTAAAAAAAAAGCATTTTTACTGAGAATGTGGTCAAACACTGGAGCAGGTTGCCCAGAAATCTTGTGGAGTTTCCATCCATGAAAGACAAACAAAACCCATCTGGACACAGCTGAACAACCGGCTATAGGTGACCCTGCTAGAAAAGTGGGGTCAGACTAGATGATCTCCAGAGATGCCTCCAACTTCAGCCAGTTATTGAATACTGTAGTTTAGCTGTCCTGACCAAAGTTTCTTCCATAGGTCCTTAAGTAGGACCTGAGAAGCATTTCGTCTTTGCTAGGTCTACTGACGTAAGATGAGCATTAGTGCCCCAGTTCTCAGAGGCTGTTACGTGCCATGCTCAAAAGAAATGGTGTAAGCTGCTACGCAGGAAGATGACAGAAGTGAGAAGCTTGTAGATGTCTTTTTCTAAGTCTGTCAGACTGATAGTTGCGAGGAAGGACAGAACAAGTACAAACCGCCTCCTCCACCAACCAGACATTGTATGGCAAATTTGGCATGTTTTAGCTGTTTTACCACCGAAACCTGTAGGTTTACACAGCATCTTCCAGTGGACACAGCTGCTCAGAAGCACTTGTCTCTCCACATTTGAAGCAACCTATCAAGCTGATTGCCAAGATCCAGCTATCACAGATAAACACTGACTGCAAGGGGCTTGATGCTACCCTTAATGTAAATCTGTGCTTCCTCATCAGGGGTCAAAGGCTGGTCAACCAGCCATGACATCTACCTCAGCTTGACTCGTCCTGCTGAGTTACTGATTTTCCAACCAAGGAGAGAAGACAGATGCCCATTCAGCTTAGATGGCCTCATCACAGCTCTCAAGAACAAGCATTAAAAACATACAACAACAATAATAATGAAAACCAAGCCAAGCCAAACAAAAGTAGGTTTCTTTTCCTTAGTCTAAGATCATCTCCTATCCTTTATACCTTAAGCTACTGTCGCCTCCAGATTACAAATGATGGAAGAAGAAAAAAAGTCTGTCCCTTAATTTCTGAGGGGAAAGTATGTATCTAAATCCTCTGAACTTTTTTGATTTTGTTTCAATATAAAACTAACTTTAAAAAAACATTCAATTTCCACAATCAAAAAGGAACTGTCCAGACTGAATTTGACCTTAATATTAAAATGACCATCATTGGTATCCTTCTATTGCTGTGTTGGTCGTTATTTTTTCCATTGTGTTTTCATTCCAAGCCTCTTTTGTTCCACCTGATTTCTAATCTGATTCCTTTCCTCCTCTTGCCATGAATGTTGACTGCAGACTGCCCTGCTAAACAATCGAATTTATAAACCAATATATATTGTAATTACAACCTGAAGCTTATTTCCGGGATGTTATCTTTGCCCTGAGACTATGATGCTGGAAAATAATGAGCAGAGAAGGTAAGTTAGGATGGCTTCCAAGAGAAACTGGGAGCACTGACACAGGATGATAGTATTAAGCAGACCAAAAGGAAAAACATATAGGAAGGCATCTTCATGAGAAATGTGGGTATCAGAATTGAACATGTGCATTCCTGATTCTCCATCTACTTTCTTTTTCTGCCTGAATGTTTCAGACAGCTTCTTTGTGCCTTGCTTTCCCCTTTGATAAAATGGAAGAATATGTATTTAAACATATTGCAAACTTCTCAGCAAGATACAGGAACTTTGTACATCCAATTGTTACTGCTCCAGTAGCCTGATGG